TTGCTCACTAAATCTTCGACCAAAGGTAGGAAAGTACGGGCTTGTTTTGATCCCCTCACTACTGGGAACAACAGTGCCCCAAGTGGAGACAATACAGACTCCACCATCCTCACCCCCCCCCCCCATCCCATAGTAATCAAATGCAGTTTATAATATGGAATTGTCGAGGAGCTCAGTCACAACACTTCAAGAGAAATTTTTGTTCGTTACTTAACTATCACCAACCTGCATTAGTGGCACTACTGGAAACTCATCTACAAAACCACGCTCATTTGAAAGAGGAATTTGGGTTTACAAGCATGGCAGAAGCACCAGCACAAGGGCACTCAGGTGGTATTGCATAGCTATGGCATGAGGAAATTATCAAGCTTGACCAGATAGAGGTTACATAAGAAGCCATACACTCAATTGTCCAGGTACCTCCGAACCCTAATACTTGGTTATTTTCGGTTATTTATGCTAAAAATGACTTGCAAACACGTTATTCCTTATGGGATCATTTAATGACAATGCATGATAATATTCATATGCCTTGGTTAATCGGGGGCGATTTTAATGAAATAACACGTGCAAATGAAAAATATGGAGGTAATCCTATCAACAATTCGCGAAGTGACCATTTCATCTAATGTCTAGACTATTGTAATTTATTAGATTTAGTCTTTAGGGGGAGTAGATATACCTGTACAAACAAACGATGTATTGCTAATAGAATTTTGGAACGTTTAGACAGATTTCTTTGTAGTTATGATTGGCTAAATCTATTTCCGGAAGCCAATGTACAACACCTTCCACGAACTCATTTGGACCACTGTCCAATACTCATTCAATTAACACACAAATTCCCTTGTAAAAAAATATTTCGATTTGAAACAATTTGGTCATCCCACCCATCTTTTCCGGCTCTCATTACCAACAGTTGGACTCCTAATAAACATTTACTAACAACAATTGATGATTTTACTGAAGATGTCCAAAATTGGAATCAAACCACTTTTTGAAACATTTTAAAAACAAAAAAACATATTGGCTAGACTAAATGGTCTTCAATCATCACCTAATTACCCCACTAGCCATTTCCTACATATATTAGAAAAAGAGCTAATAGATGAATTTACTCAGCTACTCAGGCTGGAAGAGGATTTTTGGCGATTAAAATCCAGAATCAATTGGCTTCAACAAGGGGATGCCAATACTAAATTCTTCCACCTAACAACACTCCAACGGAGGAGGAGGAATAGGATCATAGCTCTTAAGGATCTAGGAGGTAACTGGATTACGGAACTACCGCTAGTAAATTCTTTAATAATTAATTACTATGACTCCTTATTCACCACTACCCACACTCAATCCTCTATTAATCAGCATATAAATAACTTTCATACTCTCAATGCCATGGATCATACAATCTTGGCACGCCCTTTAACCACTCAGGTAATACATCATGTTATACGTTCGTTCCAACCCCTTAAAGCACCAGGGCCTGATGGATTACACCCTTTCTTCTATCAAACTTATTGGACACAAATTGGACACTCAGTAGTCTCCTTTTTGTAATGGGGTTTTTACCTCTTGCCAAATACCAGCTCAAATTAATACAACTTATTTATGCCTCATCCCTAAGGTCAAAAACCCTTCAATGATCACGCAATATCGCCCAATAGGGTTGTGCAATACTATCTACAAAATAATCACTAAAATAATTGTTCATCGTATTAAACCTTTCATAAATAAAATAATTAGCCCAGAACAATCTGCCTTCTTAAAAGGACGTAGAACGGTAGATAATGCCATAATCTTTCAAGAAATTATGCACTACTTTCGAAAGAAGAAGGGTAAAACAGCAAATTTTATGATTAAACTAGATCTAGAAAAGGCTTTAACAAAATGGAATGGGGCTTCATCAAAGAAACACTACACTACTTTAATTTTCCTCAACAAAATAATCTCTATAATTATGGCTTGTATCACAACTTCCTCTGTTTCCATCCTTATCAATGGCCACCCTTCACCTTCCTTCTACCCATCGAGGGGAATCAGGCAAGGAGATCCGTTATCCCCTTACCTTTTCATTTTATGCATGGAGAGACTCTCCCGACAAATACACCAAGTGGTGGACTATCAACAATGGAAACCAATCAAAATATCAAACAAAGGACCACAAATTTCCCATCTACTGTTCGAGGATGATATAATACTGACCTCCAAACTAACAACATCCACTGTCCACACGATTATTGATACACTAACACTCTTTACACAAAAATCAGGCCAAAGTATCAACTTCACAAAATCGAAAATCTATTTCTCAACAAATACTGAACTAGCTGACAAATCATTTGTCCTTACCTCATTTAGCATGAGGGAGGGTATCCTCTTTGGAAAATACCTTGGATTCCCTTTGTTTGTTAATAAACCAACATCCCGTGATTTTCAGTACATCTTAGACAACTTCAAAGCTAAGTTGTCAGGATGGAAAACTAATATGCTTTCAATGGCAGGACGTACTACCTTAATAAAATCTACCTTATACTCACTACCAAACCACGTAATGCAATACATCAAGATTCCTTCACAAGTTATCCTAAGAATGAATAGATATCAAAGAAACTTTCTATGGGGTACTACTAATACAAAAAGAAAATTCACTTGATTAATTGGACAGTGGTACAAAGACCTAAGGACCAAGGTGGATTAGGCGTTCAAAATCTATCTACTAAAAACCATGCCTTATTAGGAAATCTAGCTTAGCTACTGTTTAAAAATCCTAAAACAATATGGGCTTCTCTATTATTGAATAAGTATCAAAACAGAACCAAAGTATCTACCACATCGTTTACATTGAAAAATATTCAATTAGGATGGAAACTTTGCCAATAGGTTAGTATGGAATATTGCAAGGGGAACGCATATCAACATTTGGACTGAGCCATGGCTTGGACCTAACATTACTCTTAGAAATTCTATAGAGGGACCTCTAAAATCTAATGAATTACATAACACACTCAGTCACCACATCAACACAAAAATTGAAACAAACTCATTATCCTTTGTATTTCCGGAACAAACCCTTTCCTTGATTAATCAAATCCACATCCCGACTTTAACTAACCCCCACGCTTTTGATCAGATCATCTGGGGGCTCACTACCAATGGTCAATTCACCGATAAATCACTATACCATAAGCTACAAGAGCCAAAAGCAGCTTATGAACACAATTGGCTTTGGAAATTAAAACTACCGCCAAAATAATACATTTCCTTTGGCTAATCTCACACCAAAGATTAGCCACAGCTTCTTACCTCTACCACATAAATGTCACACAATTCAATACGTGTAATCTTTGTCTTCAAACTGGAGAAACAATTAATCATCTCCTTTTCCAATGTCCTATAACGACCACTATTTGGTCTCAATTGAGACTTGACACTGCTTTAAGTACTTGTGACATACAACTCCTATCACCCATCCAAATAATACACCACTTAATAGCTAACACTTAAAGCCTCCGGTTCAACTTGCCATCACGCATTCTTATTCCACACTTAGTATGGCATATTTGGAAGCTATGGAACCACTATCTTTTTAATAGGAACTCACACACACCTCCTTCAACAACAAAGCAGGTGATAACACAAGCAGTTGAATATCACTACCTTATTCAACAAAATGCACAACGACAACCACGCACACAAATGTATGTCAAATGGCATCCACCAAATTTAGGTCGATTTAAGTTAAACACTGATGGAGCATCCAAAACCAATACGTCTAGAAATGGTATAGGAGGAATATTCCGAAATACAATTGGACAATGCCTACTAGGATTCATGGGTAAATGTTCTACCTGTAACTCCACCTATATGGAATTAAATGCATTATTACAGGGTTTGCAACTAGCATGGATTCATCAATTCATTCCATTGGAAGTGAACGTGGATTCTACTGAGGTAATATCAATGCTTCGCAATGAAAATATGCACTACTCATCTACATTAATGGAATGTAGGTACTTAATACAGCAGCTGGGTAATCCTCTGGTTATCCACACATACAGGGAGCAAAACTACGTTGCACATACTCTCGCTCAACATGGTTCATCTGCTGATGCTAGTGACTACACAACAATCTTCACCCAGGCACCATCCTTTTTGCAACCACACCTTTTGGCTGATCAGTAAGGCACTGTCTACCAAAGACTGGTGAAGTCTCCATGTACAACCAACTTGTCCTACAATCCCACCTGTTTGGAATGTGATCACTCCAACGACATCTTGGCTGTAATTTTTGTAATATATTGCAACAAGCTCCTTGTAATGACACAATTTAAATCAATATAATTTTATTTGATGACCAAAAAAAAAAAAAGAAATTAAAAGGGACAAAGAACACACACCAACATGCAAACAAGAATTTCAAAGCAGTAGAGTGTACTTCAAAAGCACCAAAAAAAAAATTTAAATCTATTTTTCTTTAATGTTTAATTTGTTCTTTTTCCTTATGAGTTCAGTGTATGGTATTGAATTTCAAAGCAGTAGAGTGATAACACATACAACAAGAAGATACAGCCAACTTGGAAAACTGGAAGCTTTATTTGAGAAAATTGACTTGCCAAATGTTGTATATCATCATGTTGTATATCAGCAAGTAACAGTGCTAAATGCACGTAAACTTGATCAATTTTCTTAATACAGATAGTGACTTACAAATCTTAGACCATAACGAGGCATTCATTAAGCCTTTGATTCACTAAGTATACTGCGAGAGAATTCTAATATGTACATTGCTAATGCTACCTTTACTTGAGTTTAGCTGTAGCGAAGATTCAAAATATAAAAAAGTAAACACATGAAGAAGCCAAAGGGATTCAAACAACTACTATACATACATAAAAAATAATTTTGACCTTATATATACGCGTACTATTTTGGCGAAGAGATTTCCGATGAATCC